GGGGACTTCAATGCTCACGTGGGCAATGACGGTGAAACCTGGAGGGGCGTGATTGGGAGGAATGGCCTGCCTGATCTGAACCCGAGCGGTGTTTTGTTTTTGGACTTCTGTGCTAGCCACGGATTGGCCATAACAAACACCATGTTCGAACATAAGGTTGCTCATAAGTGTACCGGGGACCAGAGTAACTTAGGCCAAAGGTCGATGATCGACTTTGTAGTCGTATCATCAGATCTGCGGCCGTATGTTTTGGACACTCGGGTGAAGAGAGGAGCAGAGCTGTCAACTGATCACCACCTGGTGGTGAGTTGGATCCGATGGCGGGGAAGGCTGCCAGACAGACCTGGTAAACCCAAACACATAGTGCAGGTGAGCTGGGAACGTCTGGCAGAGGCCCCTGTCTGTGGGATTTTCAATTCCCACCTCCGGAAGAGTTTTTCCTGCATCCCGGGGGAGGTTGGGGACATGGAGTCAGAGTGGTCCATGTTCAAAGCCTCCATTGCAGAAGCAGCCGTTAGGAGCTGTGGCCAGAAGGTCACTGGTGCCTTTCGCGGCGGCAACCCCAAAACTTGCTGGTGGACACCGGCGGTGAGGGAAGCCGTCAGGCTGAAGAAGGAGACCTTTCCGGCCTGGTTGGCTCAGGGGTCTCCTGAGGCAGCAGGCAGGCACCGGCTGGCCAGAAGGGCTGCAGCTGCGGCGGTCGTGGAAGCAAAAACTCGGGTGTGGGAGGAGTTCGGGGAGGCTATGGAGAAGGACTTTTGGTCGGCCCCGAAGAAGTTCTGGCAAACCGTCCAATGCCTCAGAAAGGGGAGGCAGGGATTCTCCCAGACTGTGTACAGTTGGGGAGGAGAACTGCTGACCCAGACTGGGGACCTCGTCGAGTGGTGGAAGGAGCACTTCGAGGAACTCCTGAACCCGGTAAACACGTCCTCTTATGAAGGGGCAGAGCCTGAAGACTTGGGGGCTTCTGCGTCCATATCCGTGGTAGAGGTCACTGAGGTAGTTAAGAAGCTCCTCGGTGGCAAAGCGCCAGGTGTGGATGTGATTCGCCCTGAGATGCTGAAGGCTCTGGACATTGTCGGACTGTCATGGCTGACACGTCTCTTCAATGTCTCATGGGCATCAGGTACGATGCCTGTGGAGTGACAGACTGGGGTGGTGGTTCCCATTTTTAAAAAGGGGGACCGGAGACTGTGTGCCAATTATCGAGGTATCACACTTCTCAGCCTGGTGATCTGGTGACAGCTCTGCCTCTCTCTTCACCCGTGTGACCAGAACATACAGCCGCAGGTCTGATGACACGACTACAAAGTCGATCATCGTCCTTTGGCCTAAGGAACTCTGGTACCAGGTACACTTATAATGGGTTCAGATCGGGCAGGTCGTTCCTCCCAATCACACCCCTCCAGGTTTCACCTTCATTGCCCATGTGAGCATTGAAGTGCCCCAGAAGAACTATGGATTCCCCAGGTGGCACTTTTTCCAGGACACCACCCAGAGACTCCAAGAAGGCCGGATACTCTGAACTGCCGTTTGGTGCATAAGCACAAATGACAGTCAGAGTTTTCCCCTCTGCAACATGCAGTTGCAGAGAGGCGACCCTCTCGTTCTTTGGGGAGAACTCCAACAAGGCAGCGCTCAGCCAGGAACTTGTGAGTATCCCCATACATGCCCGTCACCTCTCACTGTAGGCAACTCCGGAAAAGGAGAGAGTCCAACCCCTCTCCAGGAGTTTGGTTCCGGAGCCCTTGCTGTGCATGGAGGTGAGCCCGACTATGTCTAGCCAGTAGCGCTCCACCTCCCGCACCAGCTCAGGCTCCTTCCCCGCCAGTGAGGTGACATCCCATGTCCCCAGAGCTAGTCTACGCCACCAGGGGGTGGTACGCCAGGATGCCTGCTCCTGCCTACCACCAGGTGTGCATAGCACCTGACCCCAATCTTCTGCCCTGTGGGTGATGGGCCCTCTGGGCAGTTGCCCCGTGTTGCATCTTCGGCCACTGCCCAGACCGAGCCCCATGGGGCCCCAAGGCTTGGCCACCAGACGCTCTCTCACGAGCCCCCCAGGCCTGGCTCCAGGAGGGGGCCCTGGTCTCCCTGTTCCAGGCAAGGTGGCGGCTTTCCTTGTCAAGTGTTTCATCAGGGTCTCTGAATCGCTCTTTGTCTGGTCCCTCCTCCAGAACCAATTTGCCTTGGGAGACCCTACCAGGGGCTAATGCCCTGGACAACATAGCTCCCAGTATCACAGGGACACTGAAATCCCTCCACCGCGATAAGGTGGCGATTCATCAGGGGGAATACTGATTTTATAATGTTAAAAACAACATAAGCGTTTTTACTTCTTGAGCACAGAGCAGTCATTATTAAGCCACGTCACAAGTTTAGAAGTTTTAGAAAAAACGTGGGCCTCTCTTCCATCAGACTGTCCAGTGAGTAAACGTTCAACCCAGCTACTGATCTCCTGCACATCAACCAGCCTAATCCACAATGTGATCACAGGAGATCGCTCCAGAAACACCACTAACCACCCCAAAGACTCCAGTCTCTCCACTCTTGAACTGATCAGAATTTGAGCTGTAACGTGAGAGACTCTACTCAAGGAACACCAATTGTAAATACTTCCTCCTTAACTTTTATGCATTCCAGTGTTGATGTCTGAGACAGGAGAGCCTCCAGAGAATCCAACTCACACTCTCACTACACACTGAAATGTACATTGTGCTCCCAAACTCCCAACAGATCTCCAGACAGTGTCCTTTCACCTGTATCACTCGCATCAATCATCAAGCTTCTCCTTCCATTTCAAGCACATGGATGTCAGTTTCACTAACGTCTACCTCCACATCAACAACGCCTAGCTTGCAGGCACCAGGATGCCAGAATCTCAGCCAGTTTCAGTGCCAACACCAGTACGTTTGTTCCTTCTGTACCTGAGGTGGTTCTCAAGCTGCTTGCTCTTACAACCCCACTAAATATGTCAACACCAACATCAAAGTGCTGAAACATCACTTTCTCTCACCACTATCCCAAGTGTCAGCCTTTCACCTAAATTTCCAACACTAGGATGCCAGTTTCACTAACCTCCCTCTCTAACTCATACAGTCCTACTGCTCTCATTACCAGCACCGGGATGCCATTTGGTGTCGCCTCTATTGCCCCTACATTACCAATCTCCAACCCTCTTTTCTGGCACCGGGATGCCAGTTTCACTTGCTTCTACCACCTACTGCAACAATCTTTGGCTTTCAGTCTGGCACAGGGATTGTAGTTTTACGAGCCTCTATATCCTACATCAACAGTTTGTTACCTATATTTCCAGCACAGGGACACACATTTCTTCTATCACTATCCCCAGCATCAACCTTTTGCCTAAATTTCCAGCACCAGGATGCCAGTGGCACAAATCTCCATGGTCCATGTCAACAATCTTCTTCTCAAATTTTTGACACCCTGCCTTTCTTCTGTCTCCTCATCTCAAGAATCTTCTTCCTCCTCCATTTCCAGCACTGGGATACCAGATCCTATGTCCTCTATTTCCTCATTCCAGCAATTCTTCACTTCCATGACAGGCACCAGGTTGCCAGTCTCCCACTATTCCACTACCTTACCCAGCAACCACCTTCAGTTGGTGCTGAGTTACTAGTTTCAAAGCCCATCAAGTAACCTCCCTAAAGCTTGAACCATTCCACAAGGTCACTGTTATATTTCTCACTTGCTGTCACTCACGTCATCTACACCCTCAGTTCCGACACAGTTGTCCTCAATAAGTTATGGAGGTGCTGGACATCTGACATACAGACACACATAAATCTCAACATATTTGAATGTGTATTGAACAGCTTCTTTCATTTCCTTTGCAGTAACAGAAACGTCTCACGTAAATATGAGGACATCATCTCCAAGAGCGAGCTGCTTCGTTCAGGATCTCCTGCTGTCTACCAGCTGAGAATAAAGAAGAAGATCTTTGGAAGTCTGACAAGAATAACTGTTGGTAAAAGAAATGTGAACAAGTTG